TATTATTATAATAATAATAATTTATAATAATAAATAATCGATCTTGAGCAATTTAAATGTCATAAGTATTTCATATTGATTAATAGATGACATTTAAAGCACTCCAGAGCGATGGGAGCGGTGGGAGACAACCGACTTGTTGAAAAAAAAAAAAAAATTATTATGAGTATTACCATCAACATACCTTGCTCATGGATTTTAATCATTTCTTAACCCTTAAACTGTCCAAACGTAGATCTATGTTTGCACGCGTAGCTCTCCAAACGTAGATCTACATTTGCACGCGTAGCTCTCCTAACGTAGATCTACATTTGCACGCGTAGCTCTCCAAACGTAGATCTACGTTCGATTTTACATTGTTTATGTAAAAAAAAAACGTAGATCTATGTTTGGACAGTTTAACCCTTTCAGGGTCCAAGGCCCAAATCTGGAGTCACGCACCAGTGTCCAAGAATTTAAAAAAAAAAAATTTGTTATTTTTTCTTATGAAATCGTAGAGAATCTTTTTGTGAAGGTAATAAAACAAAAAGTACAAAATTTGGTGGAAAATTGACGAACTTATGCTCTTGCGAATTTTGATGTGTCAGCGATATTTACGAATTGGCGATTTTGCCGACTTTGACTCCCATTTTAGGCCAATTACATTATTCCAATCAACCAAATTCTTAGCTATTTCACTATTATTACTTCTATTCTATCGATTGAGCACAAGAAATCGCCAAGTCAACTGTTTCAACTACAAAATAAAGTGATCGTAAATAGTTAATTTGGCCAATTTACACAAAGTTCAAAATATTCCAATTTCAAAATAGGGTCCAGAATAAACAATGTAGGCATTCCTGGCACTAAACTAACATTTCCTCTGTTCATTAGATATGTTTTGAGGCTTTACAAATAAATTCCATTTTGATTTTTTATTCACATAATGAATTATTATTCACACCAAAAAATAGAAGATTTACTGTTATGCAATACTGTAATAATTGTATAAATATCATCACCATATTTGTGAATGTATATTAGACCCACCAGCTGACGTGTATTAGACGTGTGAGGTCGTTTGTTTACTCTTGAATATCGGCAAAAATTTAACATTTCCGCTACTTTGAGCTCAGTTTCAAGCCATTTCCAGTGCTAAAACCAATCAAAATCATCTCTATTTCTGTAATATGTCTTCCATTCTATCAAATGAGACCAAGAAATTGCAAATACAACTATAAAAAACATACGAAAAAACACTGCAAATTTGCTGTTTTAATCGAAAAATCATGATTTAAGTTTTTTTCTCTCATTATACACAGTGTGCTGCAGGATCTGTTTTATGTGGTGCACACATACCACATAGATGTATTCTCTCATATCTAGGCCCAAATGTACCACTCACAGTTTATCAGAGTGAGCTGAGCTCATGGCGTAGATCTACGGTTTGGACACTCACCGTAAAGCCGTAGATCTACAGGACGGACCCTGAAAGGGTTAAGCTGCCATGAGACACTAAGACTGTAAACACACACATGAACACACCAGCTAACCCCTTTACTGTAAACTTCTTTTGTACTTCCATTTTCCTCTTGTTTTTCCTCTTCCAAGTGCTGCTGCACTTCTAACTCTTATCTTCTACTATGGGATGCACAATAAAGTACAAATTTATAGACAAAATATGTAGTCTTGGAGATTGCTTGATGCTGAGATGCATCACTAGCCCCTTTACAGCGAACTTTTTATACTTCTTCCATTTTCCTCTTGTTTATCCTCCTCCAAGAGGAAAAACAACAGGAAATTTGTACAGATGTGTAGTCTTGGAGATTATGAAAGCTAGTGTACTGAGTGACCGTAGGAAGGGGATTATGATGCTTGATGCCGAGACACTGCACTGCCCGTTAATGACCCAAGTTCTTGTATAGTATACAATAACTCATCAGAGAGCCCGTCGTAACTTCGAGTTGTCGGTAAACGAGTACATCAGTAAGCGAGGAGAGGCTCTACTTTATAAACATTTAAAAATACAGTAGACCGTCATTTAACATGGTAGTTACGTTCCTGAAAATGCTGTGCTAGGTAAAACTGTGTTAGATGAACTGAAGAACTTATGGGAAAAATAGGGTTACGTTCTTGAGAGCCCCAAAAAAGCCAAACCACTTTTTTTTTAGGCCTCCACCTCTTGCAAAAATAAAAGTGAATATGTAATTGTAGTTCATTGTTGTGATGTATTATGTTGTTTTTACTGCTTAAGACTACAAATGTAACAGAAATAATAGTATTTCTTATCTTAAATTGTGGGTGCTGGTGTTTGTGGATGATTGTGAAGAGAGTGGAGAGTTATGTTGTGGTCCTACTGGGCTGAGGTGGATGGTAGAGGTTCTGGTACTGGAGTCAAGTGTTGAACTTTAAGTCAGTCAGTGAAGTCAGTAAGTCAGTCACTCAAGTCATTCAGTAAGTCAGCCAAGCCATTCAGTCAGTCAAGTCATTCAGCAAGTCACTCAGTCAGACAAGTCAGTCAAGTCATTCAGTAAGTCAGGTCATTCAGTAAGTCAGTCAGTCATTCAGTAAGTCAGTCAGGTCATTCAGTAAGTCAGGTCAATCAGTCAGTCAGTCAATCACACAAACTGGTATGCCTACTGGGTGTCATGATTGCTTGGCAGATACAAGATATAGTAATTAAAAGATCTAAACACAATTCACAAACAGAGCTAGCTTGTAGCAGAGAAAGACTGGACGCTGAAGTACGAATGGTGGGGTGATGTGAGGGGGGGATGGCGGTTGGTCTCCCCCGCTGATCCACAACAAGGTAGCCGCTTGAGGAAAGGGGAATTTTTTTCCTTACCACAGACTTAACTACGTTAAATTAATTTTACAACATGTTACATAAAATTGTGCCACAATTCTTCAATTGTGCTATACCCGAATCGTGCCAAATAAACTTGTGCTAAATGACAGTCTACTGTATACCAGAAATGTTATAAATGGTGCAAATGTGACATTAAAATAATATCATAGATGGTTGACACAAACCCACTACCATTTTAGTATGATCCTTGCTTAGCGACGAATTTATTTATCAACGGGGTCTTAGGAATGGAACTCCGTCGTTAGGTGAGGAGAGGCTGTATTACTATTTTCACTTTGGGTGCTTTGGGGAGGCTGAGGGAATTTTTGGGCCCTTAAGCTCCCCCAAACTTTCCCCATCTTTGGCACTCCCACTGTTTAGGATTAAGTACAGCAAGTTTGATGTAGACCCACTCATTTGCTGTAGATTCATAGTAGATTCATCACCACCTCATTTAAAGTAAAAAACTTTTGTATAGTGTTGACAACGTGGTCTATATAATATAGCAAAGAAGTAGACTGGAATGGCAACAAATAGTCTGCCAAATTTCTCAACGTAATGACAAGCTCTTTTATGAACCAGCATATCAAAGAAGTGACACTTCTGAAAGAAGCCAGTGCACCATCAAAAAAAATTAACAAAGAAATTATCGTCATAAATTATTTAAACTCATTTGGAAAGTGTGACCTTGTTCTTTAGTAAAAAAAAAATTACAATAAATAGTTTCTTTATATGCAAGTGTCTGGAGAGGGTTGCTGTGCCCTCTTACCCTCAAGGGAGGTTCCTTGATGCTGGTGAGGGGCTCTTGATTTAAAGGATTGGACCTGTGCTCCAATTCCTTGAGTTAAGTCTGAATATGTGACATCTGCGGGTTTAGTGCTCCCCCACGAATGTAATAACAATAATGGTAATGTGCCCTCTTATAAAACCCATACAAATATGTGCGAGGCAGCATTAGCTACCATCATCACCACTATCATCAATATTGGTAAAAATGAGCAACATTTCTTCACCAAATTGTACCAAGCATAGGAACTCGTCACATCTGTACTAAACAAACATGTACTAACCAAGAATTCAGTAGTATCATATTAAAATAGTGCTGAAGGTTGTTATTGCTGCTTTTTAAGGACTAAGATGGCTTCTGTTGTATGAACCCTGCTCGCTCCCAGTGGTGTAGGAGTTGTCTGAAGATATGGAGAGGTCAGTACAGTTCAGTTTAATGTAAGCTGTGGTGATTCTGTAAGTACAACTATAGAAGCACAGCTAGAGTAGATATGTGAAATGTACAGTTACAGTAATTATGGCATACTAACCTTCAGTCACTTCTCCCAGCATATAGAAAACTTCTTTTTTTTTTTTTTTTTTTTTTTTTTTTTTTTTTTTTTTTTTTTTTTTTTTTTTTTTTTTTTTTTTTTAAGTAGTCAAGAATTTCACACTTAGTTTGCTCTGATATTTTGCATATACTATATCTTGATTCCATGGTGAATCTTTCACACTTGGCGACATATACTATGTAAATTTGTTCGTGGTTGTAATTTTTGATCACATTTGTTGAACTGGTATTTACTGTAGGTACTGTGATAAAACATGTACAACTGTGACAACCTTGCACTTTATATATAATTCATTGTAAACCCTATCAGTATTTTTCTCTACCCATTTTTAACCTAAACAGTCCTTGCAGATAAAAATTTATTCAGATGACAAAACCCATCTGAATTATTACATTATATTTGATTAACATATATCATAATAAACTTTAGCAATTCATGTTTTTACTACAGTTACATTGAAGTTTTAGTAATAATTAATAATGAGTAAGACATATGCACAACACTTAGCTGTCTTTGTCAAAACCTTTTGTGTGATCAGCAGGCTTCATCAATTGAATACAGAGGTGATTATAGCACTGGAGACAGTAGAAGAAATGGAAAGGCAGTTTTTGAGGTGGTCAGTTCCTTAGCCTGTTATCAAGGCTGATGGACTGATCACCTCAAATTAACCTCTGTTTCTTCTATTGTCTCCACTCCACTCTTGAGAAAAGTAGCCTGTTGTGCGGGCAAAATGTTTTACCAATAAAAATACTTCAAATGTTTCAGTGTCTTATTAGCTTGGTACTATATTCTATATCATAATATGAGAGTGATAACTATTTTAATGTTATCCACAGCTGATTATTGGCAATTTTGGTCTGAGTTACGAGCAGTCCAAATCACAGATGGCCATGTGGGCAATATTTGCTGCACCGCTACTAATGTCAGTAGACCTTCGGACAATTCGACCGGAGTATAAGGCTATCCTACAAAATAAAGCTGTCATTGCAATTGACCAGGATCCTTTGGGCATTCAAGGAAAGAGAATATATAAGGTACGTTTCATCATTGTTCAATAATTTATTACTTAATTTAGAACTAAGAGCTTAAATTTATTTAGATTATTAGATTGCATACATAGCATTAAAGTTGCTTCTGATTGAAGGTTAATTAGAATGAGGTGGAACTCTATTTATGTATACATGAGTGGTCCAAACTATTTTGGAAACACTCATATACTTTGTATATCTTGAGCAGCTGAGATCCTCTTCAGCAGATACACGAGCATGAAAGGTAGACATAATATATATAAAGACAAAATGCAGGCTATAAATAATGCTTAACCCTTTGACTGTATTGGCCATGTATATATGTCTTACGAGCCAGTGTTTCGGACATATGTATACTCAATAATTCTAGCGGCTTCAAATCAAGCAGGAGAAAGCTGGTAGGCCCACATGTGAGAGAATAGGTCTGTGTGGTCAGTGTGCACTGTATAAAAAAAAATCCTGCAGCATGCACTGCACAATGAGAAAAAAAACGCCGACCATGTTTTTGGATTAAAACGCCAACTTTGAGGTGTATTTCCGTATAGTATTTATGGTTGTATTCTCGTTTTCTTTGTCTCATTTGATAGAATCGAAAACATACTACAGAAATAGAGATGATTTTGATTAGTTTCACGATGAAAACGACCTTGAAATTGAGCTCAGAGTAGCAGAAATGTTCGATTTTTACTAATGTTCAAGAGTAAGTAAATCACACCACACATCCAATACACATCAACTGTGGAATCTGATATTCTTTCACTAGTGCACTGATATTATTTATGCCATTTTTACAATAGTGCAGTAGTCTGCATAACAGTAAATCTTCTATTTTTTGTGTGAATAAAAAATAAAAATAGAAAGCAAGAGTAATATAAGAGGGGCCTGGAGATGTGACTGATGAACAGAGAATATGTTATTTTAGTGCCAAGAATGTCTGCATTGTTTATTCTGGACCCTATTTTGAAATTGGCATCTTTTTTAATTTGCATGAAATTAGCCAAATTGCCAATTTCTGACCACTTTATTGGGTAGTTGAAATCAGTAAATTGGCAGTTTCTTGTACTCAGTTGATAGAAAAAAATGGAGTTCTAAAGAAATAGCTATGAGTTTGGTTGACTGGAACAATGGAATTGGCTGAAAATAGGGTTCAAAGTCGGCAAAATTGCCAATGCGTATATATCACTGAGATTGCTAGCTTCGCGGGAGGATACTTCTGCAAGTTTTTGATAAAATTTCGTACTTTTGGTGTCATTACCATCAGGAAAAGATTCTCTATCATTTCATAAGATTTTTTTTTTTTTTTTTTTTTTTTTTTTTTTTTTTTTTTTTTTTTTTTCAAAAATTGGTTGACATAGAATGACAGTTTCAGAAGTGGGATTGCAACAGTCAAAGGGTTAATATATTTCGGTTTGTGAGAAATATGCATTTCAGTAGTCTATATACAAGGAGTGCCAAGAAAGATACTACTGTTACACTTAACATTGTGTTTCATGATGATAAAACATTTTTTCACACAACATGAACTAAATATGTATTATAAAATTGCAAATGAGAGAGTCTTGCAAAATGAGTATAAAAATTGCAAAGTCAGACATAAAGAGAGATTTTCTTTAAAATGCAGTATTAGAAATTTTCTCAATCAATGAAAATTTTGAAATAAAACAACAATGCTAAACGTTTTAATAACACTTCAAAAATTATAGTTAAAAAGAATGAGAAAAGCATTCAGGAACCTTGACAAGAATTCCTTAAAGATTGTATTGCTATTTGAAAGGGGTGAGATGTAGTAAGGAATTACTTTTATTAGAGGCTAACTCCAATCAGGAAGTATATCACTTATTAAATAGTGTTAAGAGGTGCAGCAGAAGCCATTGAGAAAAACATTGTAGAAGCAGAGAAGAGAGCACCCTAGGCTTTTAAGGGATGTAAGGTGCAAGCTATCTGCTCAAGATCATTTGTGGGACTCCACAGTGGCTGATTAATGATAATTATAACTTTGTATAGAAAGGGGTTTAGTTATAGGTAATACATATTTTAAGAAAAAGAGGATAAATAAGTATACAAGATATGATGTAGGGCGAAATGACAGTAGTTTGTTGGATTATGTATTGGTAGATAAAAGACTGTTGAGTAGACTTCAGGATGTATGTTGAGTAGACTTCAGGATGTACATGTTTATAGAGGGGCCACAGATATATCAGATCACTTTCTAGTTGTAGCTACACTGAGAGTAAAAGGTAGATGGGATACAAGGAGAATAGAAGCATCAGGGAAGAGAGAGGTGAAGGTTTATAAACTAAAAGAGGAGGCAGTTAGGGTAAGATATAAACAGCTATTGGAGGATAGATGGGCTAATGAGAGCATAGGCAATGGGGTCGAAGAGGTATGGGGTAGGTTTAAAAATGTAGTGTTAGAGTGTTCAGCAGAAGTTTGTGGTTACAGGAAGTGGGTGCGGGAGGGAAGAGGAGCGATTGGTGGAATGATGATGTAAAGAGAGTAGTAAGGGAGAAAAAGTTAGCATATGAGAAGTTTTTACAAAGTAGAAGTGATGCAAGGAGGGAAGAGTATATGGAGAAAAAGAGAGAGGTTAAGAGAGTGGTGAAGCAATGTAAAAAGAGAGCAAATGAGAGAGTGGGTGAGATGTTATCAACAAATTTTGTTGAAAATAAGAAAAAGTTTTGGAGTGAGATTAACAAGTTAAGAAAGCCTAGAGAACAAATGGATTTGTCAGTTAAAAATAGGAGAGGAGAGTTATTAAATGGAGAGTTAGAGGTATTGGGAAGATGGAGGGAATATTTTGAGAAATTGTTAATTGTTGATGAAGATAGGGAAGCTGTGATTTCATGTATAGGGCAAGGAGGAACAACATCTTGTAGGAGTGAGGAAGAGCCAGCTGTGAGTGTGGGGGAAGTTCGTGAGGCAGTAGGTAAAATGAAAGGGGGTAAGGCAGCCGGGATTGATGGGATAAAGATAGAAATGTTAAAAGCAGGTGGGGATATAGTTTTGGAGTGGTTGGTGCTATTATTTAATAAATGTATGGAAGAGGGTAAGGTACCTAGGGATTGGCAGAGAGCATGCATAGTTCCTCTGTATAAAGGCAAAGGGGACAAAAGAGAGTGCAAAAATTATAGGGAGATAAGTCTGTTGAGTATACCTGGTAAAGTGTATGGTAGAGTTAATACTGAAAGAATTAAGAGTAAGATGGAGAATAGGATAGCAGATGAACAAGGAGGCTTTAGAAAAGGTAGGGGGTGTGTGGACCAGGTGTTTACAGTGAAACATATAAGTGAACAGTATTTAGATAAGGCTAAGGTTTTTGAGGCATTTATGGATTTGGAAAAGACGTATGACAGGGTGGATAGGGGGGCAATGTGGCAGATGTTGCAGGTGTATGGTGTAGGAGGTAGGTTACTGAAAGCAGTGAAGAGTTTTTACGAGGATAGTGAGGCTCAAGTTAGAGTATGTAGGAAAGAGGGAAATTATTTCCCAGTAAAAGTAGGCCTTAGACAAGGATGTGTGATGTCACCGTGGTTTAATATATTTATAGATGGGGTTGTAAGAGAAGTAAATGCGAGGGTCTTGGCAAGAGGCATGGAGTTAAAAGATAAAGAATCACACATAAAGTGGGAGTTGTCACAGTTGCTCTTTGCTGATGACACTGTGCTCTTGGGAGATTCTGAAGAGAAGTTGCAGAGATTGGTGGATGAATTTGGTAGGGTGTGCAAAAGAAGAAAATTTAAAGTGAATACAGGAAAGAGTAAGGTTATGAGGATAACAAAAAGATTAGGTGATGAAAGATTGGATATCAGATTGGAGGGAGAGAGTATGGAGGAGGTGAATGTATTCAGATATTTGGGAGTGGACGTGTCAGCGGATGGGTCTATGAAAGATGAGGTGAATCATAGAATTGATGAGTGGTGCACTTAGGAGTCTGTGGAGACAAAGAACTTTGTCCTTGGAGGCAAAGAGGGGAATGTATGAGAGTATAGTTTTACCAACGCTCTTATATGGGTGTGAAGCATGGGTGATGAATGTTGCAGCGAGGAGAAGGCTGGAGGCAGTGGAGATGTCATGTCTGAGAGCAATGTGTGGTGTGAATATAATGCAGAGAATTCGTAGTTTGGAAGTTAGGAGGAGGTGCGGATTACCAAAACTGTTGTCCAGAGGGCTGAGGAAGGGTTGTTGAGGTGGTTCGGACATGTGGAGAGAATGGAGCGAAACAGAATAACTTCAAGAGTGTATCAGTCTGTAGTGGAAGGAAGGCGGGGTAGGGGTCGGCCTAGGAAAGGTTGGAGGGAAGGGGTAAAGGAGGTTTTGTGTGCGAGGGGCTTGGACTTCCAGCAGGCATGCGTGAGCGTGTTTGATAGGAGTGAATGGAGACAAATGGTTTTTAATACTTGACGTGCTGTTGGAGTGTGAGCAAAGTAACATTTATGAAGGGGTTCAGGGAAACCGGCAGGCCGGACTTGAGTCCTGGAGATGGGAAGTACAGTGCTTGCACTCTGAAGGAGGGGTGTTAATGTTGCAGTTTAAAAACTGTAGTGTAAAGCACCCTTCTGGCAAGACAGTGATGGAGTGAATGATGGTGAAAGTTTTTCTTTTTCGGGCCACCCTGCCTTGGTGGGAATCGGCCAGTGTGATAATAAAAAAAAAATAATAATCAAACTAAGCACTAAACCTGAAAGGGTTATACAGCACTGTAAGGTGGAATGTACTAAAGAAGGAATATGCAAAAGTCAGAGACCAGTGTGTGGTAGGAGTGTGCAAGAGGTAGAGTTAGCCCAGATAGTTCTAAAGGAAAACTGTAATCAAAGTTGGTGTAATAAGTTAGTTTCTGATAAAAAGTTAGAGAGGGGTCTGCATTAAAGGTGGACTTTCAGGGAGGATGTTGCAGTTCAGGGAATTATTTGGATCATGATGTCCATGTACTTCTGGAAAGACAACTACAGAATGAGCAATTGTGAATGTATACTTTCTTTGGGTAGTCTTATCATAGTAGAAATTGCTGCATTTAAAAATGTTTGGCAATGATCACAATACTATTATAGTAATACAGTAATGACAGTGATATTATTATTTTACTAGGTTTTTATTACATAATACTTTTTTCTCTTATCTCAGGATAAAGGAATAGAGATATGGGCTCGTCCTATTACTCCAGTGTTTCAGAGACATTACTCCTATGCTGTTGCCTTTCTTAATCGTCGGACTGATGGTACACCCTCAGAGGTAAGTGCAGTAAATCCTTGGTATGCAAGGCTTTCACATTCATGAAAAATTGCTGTTATATATTTCTTGTTATTTTACCATAATAACCTGGCAGCTAGTGCACAATATTTGAAGAAACGCTTAAAATTTCATATAACATAGACAAATGCTTATCTAGGAAAATCCAGGGATACAAGGGTATATACACTGAGAGGTATCTTTCAGTGTATATAAGCAGTATGTTTAATCTCTAATTTACTGATAAGTCTTCTTGACGGGTGTACAGGTAACATGCAGTCTTAATGACCCACATAGTCAATAGGCTTTAAACCTAATAAGCCAGCTAGAGAACCTGGAGGTGAGCTGTTGGTGATATTTGCAGTTTTCTAGGAATAACAAAAAATCTAGGTAATGAAAGATTAGGTATCAGATCAGATTGGAAGGAGTGAGTATGAGGAAATAAGTGTGTTTAGATATTTGAGAGCAGACCTGTTGGCAAATGTATTTCAAAAGATGAAGTGAACTATAAAGTTGACAAAGGAGGAATGTGGATGGGGAGTCTAGGGATCTGTGGGGACAGTATTATCCATGAAGACAAAAGAGGAATGCACCAGAGTATAGTAGTACCAATACCGTTATACGAGTGAGAAGCATGAGTTTTAAACATTGCAGCAAGAAGACTGGAGACTTGCATTTCAGGGTAATGCATGCTGTAAATATTATTCAGAAAATTAAGAGATGAGAAGGTGTAGAATTACCAAAAGGGTACTATAATTCTAAGAGCCAAGGAGAAGTCAAGGGGGTTTGGACATCATGAGGGGCTGGAGCAAAATAGGATAACTAGAAAGGTATATACAGCCTCTCCTCACTTAACGGCGGAGTTCCGTTCCTAAGACCATGTCGGTAAATGAAGTTGTCACTAAGCAAGGAGCATACTATAATGGTAGTGGGTTTGTGTCGGCCATCTTTGATATTGGTTTAATGTGACCTTTGCACCATTTATAACATTTTTAGTATATTTTTTAAATGTTTTATACAGTAGTGTACTGTACATTGTAATAAACAGAATAGAGGAAATCAGCTCTAATATACATTATTTAGGTGTGCATACTGGTCAGAGAACTCATCGTAAGTCCGAGTCATTGGTAAATGAGTACGTCGCTAAGTGGGGAAAAGCTGTATGTATAAATCGGGTGGAGGGAAAGAAGGGTAGGAGTCATTCCAGGAAAGGTTGGAGGGAGGGGATAGAGATTTTAAGTGCTGAGTGGGCACCTAGCTCTCTTGCAGTGCTCCCCTTCCTTTGTATTTGACTGGCTCGTCCTCCTTATTCCCCACTTCTACCACTACTACTACCTCTTCTACTACTACTACTACTACTACTGATGAAATTAAGACAAATGTGCGGCGTCTGGTTGTCTTTGTTGTGGACGTTTCGCCATCCAGTGGCTGGCTGGATGGCAAAACGTCTACGATAGGGATGCCCGGGTGTTGCGCATGTGTCTTAATTTCATCTTGTCGGTATTATATACCATTCTTGTACTACTACTACCACCACCTCTTCCTGCCTATATATAGCCGTCCTGCTCCACTTCTGGTTAGTGTGACTTTGTAAATGGTCCAAGTCGGACCGAAACGTCGTCGCAAGCTTCTCTCTTTCATGTGCGGGTTATTTGTGTATCGTTCCAGTCACGGTATTATGCCTTTTTTGCTATACAATAACCACTTTATTTCTTTACATTCTCTATTATGTTTTTATACAATATTTCTTATAAATTATGTACATTGTTGACTTGCAAAATCATGATGACACGATTGCAAACAAATCATATCACAGGTGGGGTTTGAACCTGTGGTCAGAGAGTCTCAAAACCCCAGACCATCGCGTTAGCTACTGGGCCAGCTAGCTTCAATAAGATTCATCCAACTAGGTGTAGAAATAGTATACCTAGTTGGATGAATCTTATTGAAGCTAGCTGACCCAGTGGCTAACGCAACTGTCTGGAGTTTTGAGACTCTCTGACCATGGGTTCAAATCCCACCCGTGGTATGGTTTTTTTTTTTTATGTACGTTGTTTCAATGTTTTCCTTATGAAACTGTGATGTAGTGCAGTTAGCCTCACAAACACTGTTTTCTCTTATGATAATGGGAAGATATGTAGTCACAGAAGGAGAGAGAATAGCAGCTGCTGCAGCCACCACTAATCACATATGTACTGACATATTTTATTCATTCTAGAGTTTATATCATATTTCTGTGTTATTAATATTATGTCATATTAGATGAATTGTGATAAATAAGCTGTAGAGTTGATATTAGCATCATATTCAAGTAGTTTGTCCTGTCTCCAAACAGTACTTTCTCCTCCCTCTCCCCTCCTCACTGTCTTCCATATGCCAACAAGACTCTTCAATAAAGGTAAAAGTGATTTAAATGTTCATTTATCCATTTCATTAGTCCTTTATATTTATTTCTCATTGTTTTCTGTATGTAAAACTACAGTGGACCCCCACTGTTCAGCGACCGCGACTTTCGTGAAATCCGACTTTCGGCAAGTTTTTTCGGCAAAATTTAGCTTTGTGGTTTGTGATTGGGATCGTGATTCGGCGACCTTCTGGTACGCGTCTGCCCGTCAGCGTGCACACAAAGCCAGTCTCCCGCACTATTCACACTCAGTGTGCCATTGTTTACCAGCATGTGACCATCACCCCACGGGTTCATGCAACACATTTCATAATTCATTGTTTTTTGTGCTTGCAGCTGCTAAATAAGCCACCATGGGCCCAAAGAAAGCTCCTAGTGCCAGCCCTTTGGTAAAGGTGAGAAACACGATAGAATTCAAGAAAAAAACTCATAGGAAAGTACTTAAGTAGAGGAGGAAGAGAGAGGGAAGAATGTGCCTTCTGCAGTGATTCAGTGATTCTACAATATGTATGATATTAAAGCAGCAGGTATCGATAGAGGCTATAGCTCCAGCCAGCGATAAAGTGTAGAATTAACAGTGTAGCAAGTAAGTTAAGCGAGTAAGCGATAGAAAAACAACACGAGGGTAACTCTCCAATGTTGTTGGATGTGTATAGGACCGCTGAACATACACTGCCCTGCTATCTTCCACCACCCTAAACCTCTGCCAACATCTCCTTCCTCAAACTAACTAATTAACCCCTTCAGGGTCCAAGGCCCAAATCTGAAGTGGTGCCCCAGTGTCCAAGAATTTTCAAAAAAAAAATTTGTTATTTTTTCTTATGAAATGGTAGAGAATCTTTTTGTGAAGGTAATAAAACAAAAAGTACGAAATTTGATGGAAAATTGACGAAATTATGCTCTCGCAAATTTTGATATGTCAGCGATGTTTACGACTCGGCGATTTTGCCGACTTTGACTCCCATTTTAGGCCAATTACATTATTCCAGTCAACCAAATTCTTAGATATTTCACTAGTATTACTTCTATTCTATCGATTGAGCACAAGAAATCGCCAAGTCAACTGTTTCAACTACAAATTAAAGTGATCAAAAATTGTTAATTTGGCCAATTTAACACAAAGTTCAAAATATTCCAATTTCAAAATAGGGTCCAGAATAAACAATGTAGCTATTCCTGGAACTAAACTAACATTTCCTCTGTTCATTAGTTACGTTTTGAGGCTTTACAAATAAATTCCATTTTGATTTTTTATTCACATAATGAATTTTTATTCACACCAAAAAATAGAAGATTTACTGTTATGCAATACTGTAATAATTGTATAAATATCATCACCATATTTGTGAATGCATATTAGACCCACCAGCTGGCGTGTATTAGACGTGTGAGGTCGTTTGTTTACTCTTGAATATTGGCAAAAATTTAACATTTCTGCTACTTTGAGCTCAGTTTCAAGCCATTTCCAGTGCGAAAACCAATCAAAATCATCTCTATTTCCGTAATATGTCTTCCATTCTATCAAATGAAACCAAGAAATCGCAAATAGAAATATAAAAAACATACGAAAAAACACTGCAAAGTCGCTGTTTTAATCGAAAAATCATGATTTTAGTTTTTTTCTCTCATTATACACAGCGTGCTGCAGGATCTGTTTTATGTGGTGCACACATACCACATAGATGTATTCTCTCATATCTAGGCCCAAATGTACCACTCACAGTTTATCAGAGAGAGCTGAGCTCATGACGTAGATCTACGGTTTGGACCCTGAACGTAAAGCCGTAGATCTACGGGACGGACCCTCAAAGGGTTAAACTAACATCTCCTCCAAGGTAAGTGTAAATATAAAAGTGTAAACATAAAAGTAAATATAAGTGTAAATATAAAAGGACACCAATGGAAATATGTCACTCTTGAATTTTTTGGGTTATCCTGGGTACTTTACACACATGCTGCTAAATTCAAATTCAAATTCTCTATAAGGATTACAATGCTGAGTTTACAGAATTTGGTTATTGTATGGTTTACATGTAGTAAAATAATAATTACAGAGTGTACATCTAGAACACCTAGCATGGCTAGGCATTTCGGGCAGACTTAGTTTAATTCTTAATTTTAAAATATTACAAATTATGAGGTAAGTTGGTATTATGGCTGAGTGACTAAATACTAGTTTGTGAGTTTAGCAATGTGAATGCTTTTGTTTTGGCATAGTACATAGCTTCAGTATTGGAGTATCACAGGCCAACTTATGACTAGTTTGGATTCATTATTTTAAGATTGAGATTAATATTTCTGTTTATGGTCAAATGGGCGAGTGAGTGTAAGTGTGAACCTCCAGGTGGTATTCGTGTTGTTAGTTGATGGGGTGTATCAAGAAGATAAGATGTTTTCTAATGGTAGTTTTGAAGGCGATGAATGTGTCTGCAGTTCTAGAGTTTTCAGGCAGGGTGTCTCAGATTTTAGGGCCTTTGACGTACATTGAATTTTTGTAAAGGTTTAGTCGGACACGAGGAATGTCATAGAGATGTTTGTGTCTGGTGTTATGCCTGTGGGTTCTGTCACAACTATCAAGAAAGCATTTTAGGTCAAAGTT